GTAGAGGGATGAGGGGGGGTGCTCTGTGGAGCGGGCTCCTCCGTGCACCCCTTCCACCACCGTCCCTCCTCCCGGGCCCCTCCTCCTGCCAGGATACAAACACACACAGCACATGGCTGTGCCAGGGCTCAGCCGATCTGGCCCACACCCCCCAGAGGAAGGAGTCACTGACCCATCCAGCTCCTAGCCCAACCACATGAGGCTGGAGCCTGAGGAGAGCCCCTACTCTCAAAGCACAGGCTGACCTGCTGCCCCTGGCACGGGGGCCAGATCTCAGTCTCCCACCCAGGTTCAGCCCAAGTCAGGACTAAGAAGACTGACCTGAAGGCAATAGTAGGAGGGCTCACCTGCATGCCTGCTGAGCTAGATAGCTAACTTGCCCCAGCTGGGCCAGGAGTAAGTGGGCCAAATGCCAAGGAGGGCCGAGGCTGACATCATGCCAGCCTTGGGCAGCCCACCAGGGAAATAACCTCAGGCAGCTAGGGAAGGAGCCGTTCCCATCCCTGTGGATGGGGGTCTCCCTGTCCATGCCAACAGGAACTTTTCCTTGTGAGCAATCCACCCAGCCCTGACTCATCAGCTTGCCTTGCAGGGAACTGGGAGAAAGCAAGGCCAGAGGGTGGGACCTGGGTCCAAGGGAGAAGTCTGGGGTCCCTAAGGTCAGCAGTCCTCTGCCCTTGTCCCATTCCCTGTGCGAGCCTGCCTGGGGATGGGGGGGGGTGGGACTGAGTGGGGCTGAGCCCTGGCTCTGACCCTGGGGAGCCCCCAGAGACCAATCCAGTCCAGCAGCTGCAGCTGAAGGGGCAGGGATCCAAGTCACAGCTCACCTTCCAGAGAGCATCAGGTCAGCCGCCCACAACCCCATGCACAGCTAGGTCCAGTCAGAGTTCCAAAGGTCTCAGTAGCTGGACCTGCTTCCCCGGGAACCCATGTCCGGGCCAATAAGGCCTCAGAAACCTCAGCCCCTGAATAATAATGACACCAGCAACATCGACGACTGTCCACCGAGCACTTGCCACTCTCCAGGGTCCATGCACCCTCCTCACGACCACCTGAGAAGACAAAGCTCAGCTGGCTGAGTGACCAGCTCCTGCAGGGGTGAGCTGGACCCACAGGCTGATTGACACCATCCTGCCTCACAGTGTGGGAGATGCAATGAGACAGGCGAGGGCTGGTCTTAGGGAGGCCCGGGCATAGAGTGAGCTCTGAGGACAGATGGACCTGCCCTGAAATCTTTCCTTGACCACTGACCACTGGTGTGAACCCGGGCAAGTCTTGGAGTCCCCCAGTTTTCATACCTAAAACATTCCTAACAAACTCTCTTCAAGGAAGCCATGAAGACCTCAGGGAGGGTTTTTCTCCCTCTGGACCGGTCCGTGAGAAGAGGTCACTCTTGAAGACCCCCTACCAGAGCTGCAGAGCCACTTACCACCCTTCCACGTGTCCTGGCCACAGAAAAACACATACCTCATGGCCACGTTGCTCCCATCGATGACCACTGGCCTCAGGTCACTTCCCTCCTTGTCCTCCTCTGGGGGTGAGGGCTCCAGGGTGGGAGCCTTGGGGGTACCCCCGCCGCGGGGGACCAGAGGGAGCTGGGGGCAGGGGTCCGGCTCTGTGGCTGACCCATGTTTCACCAGCTCACCCAGCACCGTGTTGGTGTCTGCCTGGACGCCCAGCTTCTGTAGGACGCTGTGGATCTCTGTGGGTGAGTAGCCCAGCTTCCGGAAGAAGTCCACTTTCATCTGCAGCTCCGAAGCTGTGGCCTCATCCGCAGTTGGCTCCGGGGCGGGCCTGGGGACACCCTGACAGCTGTGGCTGTCCTCAAGTTCCCACAGACTCATGGTGGTCCTGGCTTCCCTGGGGGGCCTCTCTCCACAGGAGCCGCTCATAGCTCAGACTCCCGGAAGGCACCCGTCCCAGCCCCTGTGGGACAACCTCAGGGTCAGGGATGGAGAGGGCCCTCTCCCCCTCCCCCGCCCTTTCCCACCAGCCACACCCAACAGGATGAGGCAACACCAAATGCGCCACCCAAGTCATCTTCATGTGTTCGCTCAGGCTGTCCCCTCAAAAGCTCTCCCAGCCGGGCATTGCCAGTCCCATTATATAAAGGGAGAAACTGAGGCACAGGACACTAAGAACTTGCTCAAGGTCACCCAGCTGTGAGCTGCTGGTGCAAGGATTTGAACTAGGTCTGACTCCACCTCCCTCCCCACCCCGCACCCCCGTCAACCCAGGGGACCCAGAAGGCAGGGGCGGGGCTCTCGGATGGAATCCTAGAGCTGGAAGTGAGCTGGGGAGCCCTGGGCTTCCCCATCGAGGCCATCGCCTTCGCCCACCCGTTCCGCTTTCAGAGTCCAGGCCCAGGAAGCGCAGGGCCGTGGTCCAACTCTCAGACCCGGGGAGGGCGAGTTTCCGGGGTGACCCGCCGGGGAGAAAAGTTGCTGGGAAACTCTGCTTGGCCGCTGGTGACGCCGCGGCAGTCCCTGCCCGAGACCCGCGCGCGCGCTCTCGGCTCCCCCTCC